GTTTAAAATACCAAAATTATCCTTGAAGCTAAACTATTTGCAGAACAACATGAATCTTACAAACATGCTGATTCTTGCTCTTTCTTTAGGGATGATGCACGTACACAACAAGCTGGTGGAACAACCTCTTTCAGGGCCAGAGAAGAACTGAGGATACTTTTCCAAACCTGTGGATTCATGAGGCATTGAAAAATGAGCACTCCAATGATTCCTTGATCTTGTGGTAGGGACAACATTCGTGGCCATCAAGCAGTGCTTGGTGTTAACCTCACTAATCCTTGTAGAAAAAAAAATCAGGTGCTGATGTTGTGCAGGCTATTCAGGTGATTGTTCATACATATTGCTTCTCGTTTGTTCTTTTAAATAAAGTGCATTTAATTTTCTGTTTCTGTGTGTTGTTGGAGATCATGCTACTGCCTCCTGTCACATGACAACATGGAAACCAATGTTCCTTGTGCTCCTTGTAAACTTCTTCTTGGAGTCGAAATGGAGGAGCAAAGATTCCTGGTTGTCCGTGGTGGAATATAACTAAATACATTTACTCAGACAAGTAGGCTTACTGTAAGTATAGTTTTGAGGTACTTCTATTTGACTAGAGTATTTTGGTTTTTAGCTATTTCACTCCACTACATTTATCTGACAGCTATAGTTGGTGGTGACGTTGCAATTTAAGATTTTATAAACAAACCTTATGATCATTTTATAAAATACGATGAATTGGAAATGATAAATTACCCAATTATATAAAGTCATTGCCTACACTTTGACAAGGTACAACATTAAAACACTATTACTCATTATTGGTAATAAAACAATGTAACACACCGTAACATAACGCTGTGGAATGTGCTATTCTGTATAATGAGTACTTTAACTATTGATAAGTATTCTGTAAATAGTATTTATCTATTTTTACTTTCAACGACTATTTTGTAGTAGTTCATAAACGCATGCTCGAATATTCCGACAGCGCTTGAAGCAGCACCGGAGCCTGATACAGACAGGGCGTCAAGGAAGGAGATGGCCGACTAGGAGGCAGCGTTACCTTTACAACTTGCCTGGCGAGATTCATTTTACTTAACACATCTTCACAGCTGAAGTGGAAAGCGGCTTTTTAAATATTTCGCTCCTTCCGCGATGGCAGAACAAAACAGCAACGTCAGATATCAAGAGGTATGTAACAGTTTGCGTGCACGCTAAGCTGTAGCTAACAGTTAGCATTAGCTTCTGCCCAGTCAGCTTACGTTAGCCTGTCACTGTGAGGAAAACAACGAGCTCAGCCGTAATTTGTTTGCGGGCGGGGGCCCGAGTTTGTGAATAAGATTAAGGTGCATCAAACCTACTTTCTGACACTGAAATAAACTTAAATTAATGATCATACTCTCGTCACATATAAATCAAAGCATTAGCCTGTGTGACCCATTTTCATTTAGCAGCTAGTTAGTTACTCGTAATGTTAGCAAGTACTGGCCTGGCCTGAACAGGGACGCTGTATTAGTTTCACTTTGTCTAGCCTTTGACCAAAATCCTCACACTACCTTACGGTCCTGGATCAGTGGCCAGCCCAGCCTGTCACTAACTTCAGCTCCAGAGACAGAACAGCATCGAAATACTAAAGTGAAGGTGCAACCTGCTAATTTATCGACATATGCAGATGCTGCGTGAAGTCACGAGTGCACAGTTTATATATTATATTATTATATATTTTTTGTTTCTGTGTAGTTTTGATTGTGTATCAGATTTGACTGAGTTAGCACTGATAGAAACAGTGTGCAGCTAACCTTTCGCATTTGGAGAAATGTTTGGTTGCAGACAAATCTATCATGACCACTTGTTGCACAGTACATTACACAAGTGCGACATCAATGCTACTTCACTGTTACTCTTTAACGAGTCGGCACCATTTTATTTTACTTTTTTAGTTATCATCTTGTAATGTCACATTGCTGTAGTTAAAAAATGAGATTAGTGGAACAAAATTAGTCTAGTATTGTCTGGCAGATGTAAAAAAATACAACCTGTACATTCAGTATTTCCATAAATCAGTCCCTCTCAATAATTTACAATATAGTCTTAATAATGGCCTAATTCAACCAGAAATCCTGCTGGGATGGCTACCATGCGGTTGACAAATATCTATTATCTCATGACATATAAATATTGTCATATTGCCTAGGGCTACTTGGTGGTTTTCCTAAAAGGTGTAATTTAATAAGTTGTGATGTCATTCATTTACATTTTCTCAGCTGGTGAATGAGGAGGAGCCCGCCCAGTCATCCCAGGAGGGTCCTGCCCAGGACGCACCACCCCCCTACAGCAGCATTGCTGCAGCAAATGCAGGTTAGCAACCTTCACATCTCCCATCAAATACTGTCAGATAACAAGCACAACTTAGGCCCCATCTACACTACTCCATTTTAGGTTAAAAACAAAGACTCGAAATCGAATATGTTCTCCCTCCACACCAGTGTTTTAGCTGTTTATCAGAGTTGATCTCCATCTATACTAAAACGACTGAAAACGCATATCTAGTGGCCGTTCACGTACACTGGGCATGCGTGTGCCAGTGTAAACATGAAGCAGATGGTCTGTTCCGTAGTTACAGAAGATTTGGCGAAAGAATAAAGTACCACAGATGAAGAACCACACCAGATTTTATTTTGCATGGACCAATAACGAGCTGGGACTGTTACTGAACGTAACACAGGAATTAAAAGCGGCTTTAGTGGTAGAAAACAGACTGGGAGTCTTTGCAAAGTAAATACGGCGACATACACAGTGTAGGCTGTGTTATGTGCGGAAAAAACGGGGTTGGCAGCATTTTCAAACTTCTCCGTTTCAGGTCTTCGTTTTTGCCATTTTAGTCTGGACCCGATGTGCAAACGTAGCAAAAGGTCTCCATTTTAAAACGAAAACGCAGTAGTGTGGATGGGGCCTTAGAAGTGGAAGAACTATTTAAATCTACAATTTTCAGTGCCACTACATACAAATTCTCACTTAAAAGTAACATCCGAATCGGCTTTATTGGCCAAGTATGTGTACATATTAAAGGAGTTTCAGTCTAATTTTTCATTGCTCTCAATGTACTCACACTTCCAAGAACAATTTATAGGTAGATAGAAATAGACATACGGCTAAAAAACAAAGTTGAGCAAAGACAGGTCAATGTAAACATATATCTATTATGTAGAAACAAGTAGAAACGTCCTGCATCCAAAAGCAGTGTGAAGTGTACAAGTGGAGTGAAATGTGCCTAAGAAGCGAAAGTGATCGCTGTGCCGAACAATTCTTTCCACAGTGCATAGCTTTCAGAGATGTTCATACATTGCAAGAATAATTTGGCAATGCATTTAAAACACGTTGAAAAGTAAAAGTGACCACAGCCATCAGAGAAATATTCAAAAGAAGGTTAAGAGGAATATTTCCCACTGAAATCTCACAAAATGAAGTACTTATTCAAGTACTTACCACAGTACTTGAATATGTGTATATAGTTCTGTCAATCCTCTACTCTAATTTGTCCTACACTGTTGGCCTTAGGATGAATAATGTAAAGGGCTGTGTGCAGGGCCTTTTAGAAAGGTCTGATGCTTCTAATCTCCCTTCTTAAGAGGGCATAGGTCAACGCATTGCATAAGTGTGTGTAGCCATGAGCTCTTCCTGGGCGAGTCCATTGATCTGTCCAGTGTTGTTTGTGTTCGGACAACACAAAGAAGCATTCTGGATAGCTGCCAAATGACCCAGATAAGTCTTTTCTTGTATTGGATAGAACAGAAAGAGAAATAGTCGCACATGCTACTAATGCCTTTCTTCCTTCTGTTTACCCCCCACCCCCCTTCCCAACACTCGTTCAGAAAATTGCTTTCAGTTATTTATGACTGTCTATTTATCTGTGTCTGTTAGTGTAGATGCCATATAATAGTGTATTCAAAGAAGATCAAAGTGGTGTTTTTTCTGTCTGTAAATATCTGCCACAGTTATAAATGATAGATTTTCTTAGGAGGAAGTAAATTCAGTCCAACACATCTTTTATCATTTGCTACTCTTTTGCACAAAGCTGAAATTTGTAAGAAAAAAAAAAGAGATATTGTTACTTATGCTGCAGTTACCTCAGAAGTCGGAGCTTGACTGTATTCCAGTACAAGAACAGATTTGAGTCTGAAACAAAAGATGGACGCCTCTAGCCATTGCTAGCAAAACCAGTTGATAACAATGCATTACTCTGTACTTTGCACATAGAAACACATAACATGTCTGTTGAAATTTCCGACTGGGAATTTGGAAATTCTGATTTTCCTTGTCAAATGGAACACAGCAAAAGTCCAGCTTTATAGTGAGGGTAATGAAAACTGTAAAAAAGGTACACTAAATGAGTCCAAACTCTAATGAAATGGGTCAAACATCACTGTTAACATTGCACATACCATTTAACTTCAAGAAATAACATTAATATTCATGTTACTTGGTCAGTCGACATTTTCACCTTGTCACCCTATCGTTTCCACTAAGATAAAACAACTTTACAGATGCAGTGACAGTAGTGTAGCCCAGTCTGATGACAAATAATTTTTTATATGTCAGCCATGCTCAGGAGTTTATTTATTATTTATTATTATTATTTAGAAGAGTTTATTTTGAGAATGACTAGTCACGTGCTTGTCACCTCCACAGCTTTCTTTGAATACAAGGAAGATGGAGGAAGATTTCCCAACCCTCCATCCTACAGTGTTGCCACCACTCTGCCCTCCTATGATGAAGCTGAGAGAAACAAAGAAGAGGCAGCCATTCCCCTGGTCACTGGAAGAATCACGGTAGATTGATCTAATTTAGAAATATTCGTAATTACTAATTGCCTTGTCATGTACTAACACACGAGTTTTCAAACAAAGCATCAAAATAAACCAAATGTTATTGAAATGTATCTGTGCAGGAGGACGACTTTGTGGCCAGGGATGACTTTGAAGATGCTGATCAGCTGCGAATAGGAAATGATGGCATCTTCATGCTCACTTTCTTCAGTAAGAACTCGTTGAACATTTCAACGGTTGACTAGTGGACAGTTTTTGTTTTTTTTTTGTTGTTGTTGTTGTTGTTGTTTTTTTTTTTTCTTTCTAAAAGAGTAAACTGACTTTCAGGTTCACTTGCACAGAGCTGGCTTGTAACCATATGGTTATTAGTCATGTGTAATCATGTGTAAATCTGGTCACTGAAGATGGAAAATGTGCACTCTCCCTTCATTTAACATTTGTTGTGTAGTTGCTCTCAAATAAGGGCTCTGGTATACTATTTTTAAAGTGAATTTGGCATATTATCAAAGGCTTTTAAATACTGCACTGGGTGCAAATGCCAGTACACTCACAAAAGTTTTCCCAGCCCAAGCCAGTTTGATCAGCATCATCAATTTATGGGTTAATGTTTTGTTTGTTTTTTTTGTCACCAGTGGCATTCCTCTTCAACTGGATCGGCTTCTTCTTGTCGTTCTGTTTGACGACATCAGCAGCCGGCCGATACGGAGCCATCTCTGGCTTCGGCCTGTCCCTCATCAAATGGGTTCTTATTGTCAGGGTAAGAGCCATTTAGTGAATATTCGCCACTAGCAGTGAAGGTGCAGGATTACTAATTCATTGTGTTTCTCTACAGGAAGACTAAAACTGACATTTGTGGGATCAGAATCAGTCTAACAGGGACTATGTTATGTTTCTTCCAGTTTTCTACCTACTTCCCTGGTTACTTTGATGGGCAGTACTGGTTGTGGTGGGTGTTCCTGGCCCTGGGTAAGTGAGATACATTACTTTATAAACAAATAGTATTTTAAATAGTTATTTTCCCACAATTTCAATGATCTTGCATTGTATGATTCTAACTTATTGCATTACATGTCTTTTCTTTGCCCTTCAGGCTTCATGCTGTTCATCAGAGGCTTTGTTAACTACTCCAGAGTGCGTAAACTGGCTGATCCCACCTATGCCACCCTCCCCCGAACAAGGGTACTCTTCATCTATTAGGGGTAAGGTGTGTTCATCTGGTCACACTCATCATGGAAGCTGTGTTTGTCATTAGAGATGTTTACATGCACACAGGCCTGCAGTTACAGCTTACTCTGTAAAAAATAAAGAAATCTATAAAGAAATATTTGGCATTACCTACCTAGTACGTGTCAAATGACCATTAAAATGTTCTTTAGTAAATAAACCAGTCAACATATTCCTGATTGGCCCATTACACAGGGCTTTAGGCTGACTTGAATTGACGGCTCTGTGCAGCATCACAGCATCTCTTCTATCTGTTGCTGTTTATCAGCTGATAGAGATTTAACACCATACCTGTCCCCTAATGAGCCATCTGCACCATTTAAAGTGGAACGACACCGATTTTACACATCAGAGGCTGTTTACTTCTGCATATGTGGGTGAAAAGTTGTGTAAAGCCTTTTGTGGCTCAGAGGGAGCTTATCGGACAACATCTCTGGCTCTGCTGCTTCGATTTTTCATCTTTCTTTTTTCTTTTTTTTAAGCCAGACAGTGTAGTTGGTGGAGTTAGCTGTTCCCCATGCCCTTCGTGCTACATAACAAACAGCATGCCTCTGTATAATTCTGCCTTGGAGGTTAAACAGCTTAACATTAATACGATGTCACAGGTCACTGATAACAAACGTGATCCATTGTGAAGTTGAGGGAGCAAATTGATTAGTTTGTTGGTCTGTTTTTTGCTTTTACACGGTTTTTATAACAGAAAATTACAAAGTGTTAAGTTAAACTATTTTAGCCATTTTTGACAGGAAAAGTCCTAAATTTAAAGTGTTTGTTGTTTGCCACTAGTTATGTTTACATGCACGTTAATAACTGAGACCTCACACATCCTTGAATATTAAACCAATACTTTTGAAGACAAGGTCCATTTATAGATTTGATGTTGTACATCTTCCCTTAACATTCAGGATGTTGGATGTGGAAGAAGTGGACATGACCAACACAAGCGGCAACTCCTGTGAAGAGTTTCAAAATTTCAAGTGAAGACATAGGAGGCCAGAGGAGTAATAGATGAAGACAACCCTCAATGAAAATATTCAGGAATTATATCACTTGTTATATTTTGTTTTTGAAACTTTAATAATGGGAAATGGTTAACAGTAATAGTCCCTCAATGTACTCATTAGTGGCGAATGTTAAGTGCTATTTACATCTGTCTGTAATGTAAAGTAATGCCTTATATAATTTGATGGTAGCATACGAGCATGCATCTGCCCTAAAGGTCAATAAATAGGGAGAGTATCATGTTGGTGACATGTGAAGCCATTAATACAACACTCTGTAGACTTGCCATAGCATGCGACACACTTTGTAATCTGCACTAATCTCACTTCATAGTTTTATTGTGACTCTTAGAGGCTGTTTGTAGATACCACATACACTTAAAAAGCAAGATTTCATTAGGCTGTAAATGCTGATATACACATTACCACAAATTTCACTCACCTGTTGGCTTTAAGTATGCTCTTTTTTTTTAAGACAGGAGGGGGCAGTGTTGCCTGCTGCTTTTTAAGTCGTTAGAAACTGTTCATTGAGGGCATTGTCATCATGAAACATAACATGCTTGCAATTGAAACAGCAAAGCAAAATTACGCCCATGTGTCAGAAGTTTAAATGTTTTGTTGTGCATGAAATCAGGTCAAACTATCCACCCTGGAAATTGAATTGAGGTCACAAAATATGATCTCAGATGATCAAGCTTGAGTTCTTAAACATGAATAAGCCCTGAAACCAGACGGCCACAACAGTGATGACAACCAAGATGATTTGTTTATGCTCCGTTTACTGGTTCATGTCCTTTTAAAAAGCTCATTTAGATGTAACGGGCTGACTCTTCAGTGAGTCAGTGGAGTCGGCGTCTCATTCAAGCTCTGTCTGGATTTCAGCTGTTTATGATCTCGCGCCTCTCACATTTGGATCGAATTATCTAAGAGCATAAAAAGAACTGAAATTCCATTTTCAGGTGGGTTTTTGTCTTGAGATTTAATTCACAGCTAGGGAAGGGAAATCTGTTTTATCTTTCTTCATAAGGTGTAAGATGTTAGTTATTCTCTATATCAAGGAATGTTGTATGCAGGTGCACTTTTAGAAACATAACCAATTAAACCCAAGAGGATGTTCCCATCATTTTAGGTTCCAGACATGTAAAACAAGGAATGAATGATGCATGTTTGTTTCTGTTTTATAATCTGGAGGCATTTCAGGATGGTCAGGATAATCTAACCATTGTTGTCAAGGGAAGGAGTTCATACGGATTTTAGTCTGGTCCTGCAAACTGAACTGTTTGCCTTATCAGTTAACTTCAAACTTCTGCTGTGGCTTTGATACACACCCATTATGCTTATTTCTATGTGATGTAGAGCTGCAACCTTGAGGTTTTATTGATATGAAATTGTACAGAAAACATTTAGTGTTGAATAAATGTCACTTTCAATGCGTCATTTCTCAGTTGTCTGGATTATTGACTGCTGTGCCAGCAAGCCTGGGTTTTCAGAACTGCTCTGATGATGTGTAATGCCATGCCATAATAAAAATTACATTATTTGGAAAATGTTATTATACATTATTTTAAAAGTGTGTGTCTAAAGATTGCAACAGAGCAAATGTCTTTATGCTTGTTTAATGGTGCACTGGGCAATTTGCCACATTAGTGGCGCCAAAAGTTTAACTGAAAAATGTGAAACTTCACCGTTTCAGCTTGTGACACACCTGCAGAGCGGTAAATGACTCAACAGCCTCTTTCAAGCTGTTTATTGCCCTTATTATCTGCCGAGATGTTACTTCGCGAGAGCAGAAAAGTCCAACTAAAGAACTCAAGCGCACAACTCGAAGCAAGCCAGCAACAGTCTCAATCACTTTGATTCATCATCTTTCATTCAAGTCAAATACAATAGGGATCACAATGATCCTTCAATTTAAATTTGATTTCATGCCTCTGTCCACACATGCCTCATGCCTGACTTTCCACCAAATGTCATTGACATCTGGAAACTATTTTTAAGATGATAAACAATTTAGATAACAACAAAATGTACAAACTAATAGTATACTAGAGGGGTTTTTTGCAAATAATGCTACATAAAGTATATTAGAAAATACAATAGAATATTATTTTTCAATGTTTTTTCCTTCATCCTACAAAATCATCTGAAATGCCCCATTTCAAAAGAACCTTGAGTCTGAGAACCGCTCATTCAGATTCAATAAATCAAATCACTGCTGCTTGGCTCAGTCGAACTTTCTGTTTTCTTGTATGATTCCTTAAATTTTTTCCCGTGCAATAAGAAAAGCTGCTACCAAATAAAATGGGGCGTTGTGTAAGTGAACAAAAACAAGATGACAACATGCACATTAACAAAACAGCTGGTCATTTCCCTAATGATTATAATTATTATCAACCACTTTCACACCACTTCTTCATGTCTCCTGGTCTGTGTCATGAACTAATATGGGGAAATACGTGTGTTTTCAACAGAAGAAAATCCCTCCGCAGCTTCACATCCGTTTGGGCTGAGGTATCGCTGTGTGTGTTGGGACAAGTGTGCTCACAGATGTCGGGGCAGAAAGAAGATGGCCTTCTGTCCGATGTGAGTCCGTGGACCCAGTTTAGCTTTTCCGTTCTTTTTCAGAGCCACGTACCAGTTCCCCTCCTGATATTTCTGAGATAGATATGTGTTGTAGTGGTTCTCCTCCAGTTTCTCCAGGAAGTAACATTCATCATTTACTGTGGGCTGAGAGAGAAACACAAAACAAGCAGCGACAGCTCGCGGCAACTTTGGTCTAAGGCTAAAAGTTTGAAAATTAGTGAGTGGTTAATAGGGATGAGCGAGGACACTATTATCTGTATCTGTATCCATTCAACCAACTAAATTATCTGTATTCAGAGTGGGAGGGGCTTAAACCAGACATGGGCGGGACTAACCAGAAGTTGTTCATTTATGCCTGAAATTGATATAAGTTGATCAGATTGCTATATTTATAGGATAACTATTAACAGAACAGCCTCAGAATCGAGCTTCAGAGCAATATTTGATCACAATAATAAGAAGTTTACAGAAGTTCCTACAGGTATTATTTATTAGAAAAGAGATAGGCTGACACATTTTACTCTGATGGTACTCAAAGTACATTATATGTACTGGATACCCGTTTCAGCAGAGTACTTGCTCAACCCTAGTTATTAACCTCATAAAATGATCAACATATGCCTGCATCATTAAATCCAGTGTAGGTTCCTGATTTATTACCACATCAATCATCAGGTCCACTGTAGATACTCACTGAACTGTACAATCGCCCCTTGTCGCTCATGGCCAGATATCGCTCGGCTTCTGTTCCCTGGATGACCACTACGCCTCTGCCCACAGCTTTGAGCTTTAAAACAGCTTAAATGAGGGAAAAGTTTAAAAACAACACGTCAGCAGCTGACACCTTTAAAGACATGGGTCACCTTCTTCTCAGGTAAGAGAAAAACGGCAACGACAAATCTGAGATTTCTGTGTCACTTCAAACACTGTTGCTGTTTGCCCTCAGCTTCAGTTGCCTGACAGATGGATGGAGAGAAGAACAAATGTAAATATATTTGCCCTTCAGTTGAATGACAGCTAGTCAAGAGTCTTGTGAAACAGAAAGAATAAACCTGTCAGTCTTTCCTGCATCTGAGAGGGATGTACTCGCGTATTAGACAGAGAATTTAAACTGAATTGTTACTACAACAGTACTTGACAAGTAACAATAGTTTTGATTGGTCTGAGACTTCTATAGAGGGTGGGGCACAGCCTACATGAAGTACATAAGAGAGATTCTGCGGAAAGTAAGCTTGACAGTAAATTTTATATCATTAATGATAAAGCAATTATAAGTAACCCTACCCAAAAGTAGGCTGTAACTGCACTTTTGCACTGCATTTAAAATGAACTTTAAACAAAGTCAAATAGTCCTGTGCAATGCTGGGGTGCCCCATCTTTTCCCTTTTAAAATGTCAGTGAATGGCTGCCACATTTCCCCATGGAAGGAACTTAATGGTCTGTTTCCCTTCTCTTTGAACCTGACACGCCTGCAGTAAAAGGAAGTGAACGCATCATGCTGTAGGCCTGACCTGGATGTAAAATGGGCGGTGTGCTGGAGTCTTACTGTGAACGTCCCCGTCATCCCTCTGGCCCTGCACTGTCCCATCGGGGAGGATCTGGAGGTGATGTCCGCCATTCATGCAGTAAAGCCGAGTAGGCCGCCTGTAGTCCTGCAGCAGGCCGCTGTCTCCCACAGTCTGATCCTCTGATACAAACGACTCTTCGTCCGTCATCCTGCTAGCAAGAAACAGCTGCGTGATCAACAGGAGGGGTTTGCAGAGGAGCCTATGAAAAATAAACAGCGGGGTCTGACTCCTGCTGTCAGGTGTTTACATGCTCGTGAGCGCGCGGAGAGATCACACTGGCACCTGAATGCGCGTCCAGGACTCAAGCTTCAACTGGGATATTTGTATGGAGTGTGATCACTGACACATCTAGACCCCAAATCTAACTTTTTTTTTTAAAATGTAGTAATCAAAGACAAGGGGGTTGGCGTATCGGGCTCATGCTCTGAATGTTTTCTCAGAAGTTGCAAATCTTTTAGGTTTTTAAAATAAACTTAACTTCGTTTCATTTCCCCTCTTCTCTCTGGCTGGACCGGCAAATGTCTGTTTCATTCACTTGTGTCACTGTCACTTGTGTTCTTCTGGAGGAGTAAACCTCAGGCGCCAAGTAAATGTTTTTCTGTTGTTAATATTCAGTTCAGAGTATTGAAGACCACACCTGGCACTGTTGGAGCAGCCCAACTTATTATGGCATGGATTCATAAACATTCATTCTGTGAACTCTACTCCAGCACAGTAAAATAAAAAACTGGTTTTAAGATTAGTAATGCTGTTTACACCAAATTCATGCCCTACCTATGTTATACAACTTTTAAAAAAATCAGACCATGTTTGCCTCTTTTTCAGTGGCAGGAGTGAAAATGAGTGATCCTGAACATTTGTTGTGTTGTTATGGTTCCTCAAATATTACTCTACAGGATGATTTCTTTTCCTGGGCAACTATCATGCAAATGATGCACAGATTTTTAGGCGTTCTATCATCTCAAACAGTTTGGAAAAAAAAAAAAAATATATATATATATATACAGTGGGTACGGAAAGTATTCAGACCCCTTTAAAATTTTCACTCTTTGTTTCATTGCAGCCATTTTCCAAAAATCAAAAAAGTTCATTTTATTTCTCAGTAATGTACACTCAGCACCCCATCTTGACAGAAAAAAACAGAAATGTAGAAATTTTTGCAAATTTATTAAAAAAGAAAAACTGAAAAATCACATGGTCATAAGTATTCAGACCCTTTGCCGTGACACTCATATTTAACTCAGGTGCTGTCTATTTCTTCTGATCATCCTTGAGATGGTTCTACACCTTCATTTGAGTCCAGCTGTGTTTGATTATACTGATTGGACTTGATTAGGAAAGCCACACACCTGTCTATATAAGACCTTACAGCTCACAGTGCATGTCAGAGCAAATGAGAATCATGAGGTCAAAGGAACTGCCTGAAGAGCTCAGAGACAGAATTGTGGCAAGGCACAGATCTGGCCAAGGTTACAAAAAAATTTCTGCTGCACTTAAGGTTCCTAAGAGCACAGTGGCCTCCATAATCCTCAAATGGAAGACGTTTGGGACGACCAGAACCCTTCCTAGAGCTGGCCGTCCGGCCAAACTGAGCTATCGGGGGAGAAGAGCCTTGGTGAGAGAGGTAAAGAAGAACCCAAAGGTCACTGTGGCTGAGCTCCAGAGATGCAGTCGGGAGATGGGAGAAAGTTGTAGTAAGTCAACCATCACTGCAGCAATCCACCAGTCGGGGCTTTATGGCAGAGTGGCCCGACGGAAGCCTCTCCTCAGTGCAAGACACATGAAAGCCTGCATGGAGTTTGCTAAAAAACACCTGAAGGACTCCAAGATGGTGATAAATAAGATCCTCTGGTCTGATGAGACCAAGATAGAACTTTTTGGCCTTAATTCTAAGCGGTATGTGTGGAGAAAACCAGGCACTGCTCATCACCTGTCCAATACAGTCTCAACAGTGAAGCATGGTGGTGGCAGCATCATGCTGTGGGGGTGTTTTTCAGCTGCAGGGACAGGACGACTGGTTGCAATCGAGGGAAAGATGAATGCGGCCAAGGACAGGGATATCCTGGACGAAAACCTTTTCCAGAGTGCTCTGGACCTCAGACTGGGCCGAAGGTTTACCTTCCAACAAGACAATGACCCTAAGCACACCGCTAAAATAACAAAGGAGTGGCTTCACAACAACTCCGTGGCTGTTCTTGAATGGCCCAGCCAGAGCCCTGACTTAAACCCAATTGAGCATCTCTGGAGAGACCTGAAAATGGCTGTCCACCAACGTTTACCATCCAACCTGACAGAACTGGAGAGGATCTGCAAGGAGGAATGGCAGAGGATACCCAAATCCAGATGTGAAAAACTTGTTGCATCTTTCCCAAAACGACTCATGGCTGTATTAGATCAAAAGGGTGCTTCTACTAAATACTGAGCAAAGGGTCTGAATACTTATGACCATGTGATATTTCAGTTTTTCTTTTTTAATAAATTTGCAAAAATTTCTACATTTGGGGTGCTGAATGTACATTACTGAGAAATAAAATGAACTTTTTTGATTTTTGGAAAATGGCTGCAATGCAACAAAGAGTGAAAACTTTAAAGGGGTCTGAATACTTTCCGTACCCACTGTGTATGTATGTATGTGTGTATATATATATATATATATATATATACTATAGCTGCCTTAAATGGGGGGAATCTCCTCAGGGAAGCATGCCCTGGACCCCTTAGTTTTGTGCTAAGCCCCGAAAGTCTGCCTCCGCCCTGGTAGTAATATTGTGTTTTTACTACTATACTAATTATTTTGTCTTTTGCTTTTTCTTTTGTTTATTCATTTGAAAATAATTATCAAATTCATCACAAGGAAAAGCAACACTAGAGGCAAAAAGGGGTCGAACATTGCCAGGCCTGTATGGTCATGAATATTATTATTACAGTTTTAAATAAGGGAATGTCCATGATCCTGGATAAATAATTAAGTCAGAGCTGATGTCTCAAGTAGTGAAAGAACTGGAGATGGGATGCAAACACTGTATGATGGTGTTGACGCCTGATGTTCACATCTATGAGTTTTTGAAATGTAATTTTGGGATGCTTTGAGCACAAGAAAACTAACTTCCCTTCACCTCAGACAGAGCATGATAAGGTGGCAGTGGAAGCTTTCGTAGTGGATGTCTTAAAGTCCCTGAAAACCTGGCTTCAAGACTTTCTCATTTAGTATTCACGAGTTAGTGAAGTCACCTTTTTAACAACTGAGCCCCACTCACCTCAAACCAGTGAGAAGAGCACAGAATGAATCTAAATCCAGAAATCTCTTATCTGAAAAGAGCCACAGTGGCTCTAACTTTGAAATCAGTGTGTTCATGTGCGACCCTTCATACCTTCCACAGTAAGAAAAGACGAAAACTAGAAAAAACAGGGCCATTAAAACCTTGGGAAGTAAAACCAAAACCTGCACAAACTACAAATGCACTCTTTCTGTATAATTTAGGTGAATTGACTCTTAGAAAACAGGAAGTATGACTTTAATCAAATCTGATGCTGGTGGGGTGAAAGATGAATGATGCCCACAGCTAGTGAAGGCATCCAGTAAATTAGTTAAAATGTACTCAAGTACAATTTTGAGGTACTTGTACTTGATGAGTATTTCTATTTTAAGCAGATTCAGATTGACAAAATATAAATAACCAATCAACTATGATGTTATTATAGGTGAAGACAGGGGAAATTCACAATCTACCCAGCTGTATAAAGTAATTAAATTAAGCTCCATCTTTTCCAGCCGCATCATTATATTGATGTACACAATAATGCAGTTAATTATAATTCAATAATATATATTATTCTTAAATGGGCCATTCTGCATAATGAGTATTTTTAACATTTAAGTATATGTTGAAAGTAAAATCTTTAATGCAGGACTTAAACTGAGTATTATGTGGTGTTGCTACTTTACAGGTAGACTTGGTCCTAATTGGATCTCCTCAGTATCTTGTGACTCCTTAGTAGGTTTACTTCATGTAAACCCTGATGAATACCCATTAACGTTGAAAAACTGGTTGTTTTGTGTAATGATGTGTATTTATGTAATCACTAGTTTTCTTTTTAATCAAAAGTGCCTGAAGTTTTCTGTTTCACCTTGTTTGATTTAGAGGAGCTGCTGCTGCTGTCAGCCAATCAGGCTGATCCTCATTCATACAATTATAAACATGATCATTTACAAGAAGCTTTATCACAAGGAACTTGCCACACATAAAAGTTGAAAAGTTCACTTTCAGCTGTCAATAAATCATGTGTCAGAATGGAAAAACGCATTTATTGACGAACAAGTGCTTGGTATATGATAATGAAAAGTGTCTTACAACAAGCTTACCGTTCTCATTGTTCAGAGTCATCAAGTTAATATCAAGGCAAACATCAGCATACAGTTCCTTGCTTCGATAAGTACCACACAAACATTTACAATTCGACCTTTAATCATTGGAGGATGAGATCAACAGAAGTCACACTACAGAGCAGAAATAATACAGGGTGGGTATAGAAAAACTAGTATTTGGAGACAAATACACCACATTTTCTTTACAATGGATTATATGTACATATTCAAAATGTAAGCAAAACAAATGTTTTTTTGTTTTTTTTTAGAGAACGCATATACCAGTGAAATATGATCTGCCCTTGATTCTCAAAAGTTAATGTCTGCATAATGTTTTATACAAAATAGATTTTCAAACAATATTTGGGTAGTGCAAATCTTTTTAGATTCAAGCTGGTTGATTACTTTCACAAACAGGTTGTGTGTGAAAAAGACTGACTCCTATCCTATTCACAGTATTACACAATTTGACCAAAGCCATCGCGTTAAGAGTAAAAAAAAAACAAAACAAAACAAATAAATGTACATTTGTCTTCTAGGAGCTACTTAGTTTACATTGACATGTTGAATTTGTCTGTACTTGCTTTGGTCACCTTGTAGTCAAACATAAAATAGGGTTTTTTTTGTGCAGTCTTGTTAGACCGAGTTTATCTTTTCCTGAAAATCTGGCCTGCAGAGATAAAGTTAAATGTGAATCTCCTGTATGCAAATAGCTTATACTGGAACAAAAAGAAATACCAAGGAAGCAACCACACTTTGTTAAGTGATGGTGATAGATTATCTGGCGTTTCTATTGCATATTCAGTTGTTCTCAAAAATGTACACGACAGGATACATTTTTGAGCAAGAAGAGGCAAGTGTGTGAGATATATATATATATATATAGGATATATATACACCTGTTTAAATGAACAGCAGCAGATATTTGGATACACTGAATGTGAAAGTAACCTGTGAGTAACCCCTATGCAGTTAATAAAGATGGTTTTAAACTATTTTGAATAAAACTCAGAAAGAAAAATAACAACACATCTTTTTTTCTGAGCCTGGGTATGAACGACGACCGTGGCAGCACATTCCTAAAATATTACTACTCTGTCAAGTCAACTTTTTTCCCCCCCTGACAAAAACAAACAAACAAAAAAAAAAAAACACACAGAAGCAGACACATTTTGGGGAACCCAAACTGAAAGTTTTTGGCTCTATAAGTCAGGACACAGATGACTAAACATGGGTGACCACACACTGTGATTTCACATTTGAACAACCTGAGCACGGGAGCAGTTGAAGATGTATAATTAGTGCTTTTACATTTGTTGTTGGGATAGTTTAGCAACAGAGGAACAATTTGACATTTTCCATATGAAATGCAACTGTGAGCCCTTTGTAGTCACTTGACATATTTATCCAATTATTTTTAAAACTGGCAGGGCATCACCTCGTCAAGAGCATTTCTTTTAAACGAAATTACTTCTTCTTAAAGGATCACATTCATGTCAAAAACCTGGATTCTTTTGTGCTTTAAACACAAACAACATGTTTGGGTTATGAAACACACTGATAAACTAAGCTGATGAAAATGTTGCAGCACATATTCTCACCTACTTACACACAACACAAATAAACAGATACTGAACTGACAGGCCCACATTACTGTGTGATTACACAACACATCTGTATTACAGATACAGCTCGGTTATCACCCAATAATGATCTTAATCCAGTACACTGGAGCGAAGATAATTCAGGCCTTTTTTGCCCCCCATCTATTTATGGGCACATTTATAAGCTTCAATGCTGGGACTTGTTTCCTCTTGAGATACAAACACTGACCAAAGCAAACAAAACAGGAGTTTGGCACTCAAACAGTTCCCAGAGAATAAAGGATCCATTTCGCCTGCCTCCCCAGTCGCAACGCTACACTTTCACTGTGACTCATGAAAATGCTACATTCCATTTGACATGGGAAGTCGGAAATCTCAAAGGGAACGCACCCCTTAAGTCGGCTTTCCGACTTTGAAAGTCGGGAGAACTGCACTACCCCAACTTCGTGATCCAAGACGGCTGCTGTGAGTATCAAGTTAGTGAAAGCTGTAGTTTATACTGTTTATTAGCACTTCTGTGTATTTGTGTCTCATATAAATATTCATACACAAAGTACTGTCTAACTGCTGTCTGCTATAGCGTTTAGTAAGAACAAATACCGCACAATGCATTTTTCTTTTAATCAACCGGCGTAACAATAGCTAACCTGACTGGTTGCAAACTATGGCTGGCCGAGCGAGGTTTTCGCCTTGTGTGTGACGTCATTCCCAGCTCCGACTTCCGAGGTAAATGGAACACAGCATAAGTGCTTTCAAACATTGGGGCTCAACTACCTAAGAAACAAATCAACATGCTAATGTACTAAAAACACAGACATTGAGACAAGGTTCTAACAGGGCGTTCAAGGGGTAGAAAGGTTAAACATTAAAGGTTTTCAGCAGCTGTGGGAGATTTACAAGGTGATGAACCTGATCCAAAGTGCTGTATACACGAGCCATCTATCATACAACCCATTCAGTTTAATTTTGAGAAATACTCTTTTTCACTTTCTTGTCCAGTTAAGATGAGAAAACTGATGCCCCCTCTCACATCTGTACACTAAATATGAACCACTGATTTGCTCATCTCTGGATTTGGGCAAAAGCGTGCCTGACCGCCTCAAAGAGGGTTGCGGTGAGGTCAGATGCAGGTCAGTGTGTTTGTCTGACCGAGGTTGGGACTGAGCTACACACCTTAGCTAAGCAAGACAGATGCTGACTTCAGGTACATATTTAACATACAGACATGAGTGTGACATTTCACCCTAACGAAGCGCTACAGCAAAGCAACAATGTAAAGGCTTTCAATAATTAACCATCCAAATCAGATGCTAATTGATAGCATGGATATAATGTCAAAGAAGGATCGTCAGTGGCAGAATCATGAATGCGTGTTCGTTGGATCTTACAGACTGTAAGAGGAACGTTAAAAAATGAAGGGTGGCTAGTTTAAGCCATGTTAAAACTATAGAAATTAGTTTTCCTGATGAATAAAAAATGACAATCTTGCAAAAACAATAAAATATGCCTTCTCTTCTGTGATCGGTAGACGCAGGTATCTATCACATTCCATTATCAGACTACGGGGGCAGGAGTGGGGGCTAAAACAAACATCAAAGTGGGCTATTTCCTAACAGAAAAATATATCTAAAGTCATATATTAAAGACTGGCACAGCATAATAATCTTTCTTCACAGTCGTTTAAAGCCTTTAGCAGGGTACGAAATGCTTGAATCACACTTGAGGAGTTCAGTGTGCGGGCTTTGAATATTCTGTCGTAATGATAAGGATAATTTTTACACACGGAGGATGGACCGAGCATCTAAAGATAAACACATCCATTAACAAAAAAAAAAAAGAAGGAAAACTTACAACTGCATCTAACATAAAAAGTACAATCAAACATATGATGAAGGGGTTAAATAGAAGCACGCGTTGGGACAGGTCGGAAGAAATGGCTAAGATGATATCTGAAGCAAAAAAGGCACATTTTTTTCCCTTTTAATAACAGACGCCTGTCGATCAACAATCCAACAGAATTGTTCGAACGTCCAAAGTATCAATTAAAGCAATGAAATATGCTTTTTAAATGACTGCAAAACAGAGTTTTTGCTCCCATGTGACTGAAACATTTTGTTACAACCTCCTATAAAAACGTAAAGAGGAACATACAGTCTTAAAAGCCTACTTAAGAGCAAGTTATTAATTAAGCTTTGTTACCTTCACAGGCAACGACAACCTGGAAAACTGTATAAACTGTTACAATTTGAAAGTGTAGAAAATACTCTCAGAACCTGTACATAGATATTTCTTTTATCTATTTTAGATATCGTTCTGTATTTGACGGTAAGAAACCTGAGACGACATGGATGTTAGCCTATTTCTCTTTGTGAATATCTTTTATCTTACAAACATTTCCTACTTTTTATTCACTACCTCTCACGTCTGCTCAACAAAACAAAACCTCCGTCGGGTTCCAACACAAACATCTCCAGTCTCTCCGCTCTCTCCCTCCTGACCCGTAAGCCAGCCACTATACAAAGTTGCATACTCGTTCCCCGAAACATCACTCTACTTGTCGCCCTTCGCGGTATGGGGTTTGTGGGTGGGGGGTGGGGGGGTGTTGGTGAGGTGATGTGGTGGGATTTTAAGGCATTGTGTCTGTTATGGGGCAAAGTCATCTCTGGTGGAAGAGGAGTGGTTTGACGCTCCCGGCTTTGAATTTTGGTAACTGGTTGCTGATAATCTCTGCCAACATCTCCGGGAACTCCACACTCAGGGATTTATTCACAAAGGTGTAGAAGCAGAAGCTGAGCAGTCCACCGACCATCTGCGGACACACAGAGGAGAACACACACACATTCAGTGTTTAGTGGTATCTTGATTTTGTTAAACCTTTTTTTGGAATATGATACATCTGATGTATTGCTAGTGAGATGGTAAATAATTTTCAAATACAATCTTTCAGAACCTTTAATAAACTCCATCACACGTGTTTTAATTATTGAGGTAAGTGGATAATACAACATGGAAACCTGCAAGCTGGTGAACCAGCAATGTGTCAGTTCAAACTTAACCAAGTGTTTAGTGTTTTCTAGATCGGGAGTTTATTACTGTTACTTGGTCAAAAGCTTAAAATGTACACCAGGAGTTAGCGCTGAGTGTTTTTTTTTTTTTTGCACGAGTCGACAGGAGTATATAACAATCTAAATTAAGTTTATATTTCTATTGAGCTTAAAGATTTTAAAGCTTAAAATTTGTAAATAGTAGATTCACAACCTGAAAATGACTAAGAGTATGAGCTGCACACAGATTTAAAATAAACAAATAACCCAAACGTCTCTAATTATGGCAGTGTAAATCCCGCAGTATGAAATGGGTACAGCCACAGGGCTTACGGTCAATTATGTCAGTTAAAATCCCTCATTTTCAACCACTGGACTTTGGATATCAAAACAAAAGTATGTGTTTACCAAACTTAACCCACATTGCTGTGCCTATTTTGGGAAAATAGGCTGTCTGTTCCAAAAAGGCTGCCGTATTTTTGGTTAGAAAAACTGTTTATACCGTTTACACTGCCCAGCCCTATCGGAGCACAATGCCTGTGACAGACTGTATTTACATGTATGCACTCAGTATCGTGGTATACAGATCCATTATTTTGATTAGAAGAGAGCACAAAACATAGGAACTGCTGCTGGAACCACTTGATAGGGCTGGACCATTAATTGAAAAGTAATCAAAACCGAAATTCAGAGCCTCTAACAGACATAATTTTACCATGTTGGTTATTTCGGATATTTATAAATATTTCCCCTACAGTGTGTGTTTATGTACTTTCCCCTTAAAAACATACTAGTGTGTGTGGTCATGTGACTCTGGTCCGTCCAGTCCTGCTGGGCTTCCAGACCGCAGTCAGGCTGAGGTTAGCTGGCGCTAACCGGCTTCACTATCCAGCAGTCGACGAAACAAGACCACAGCCATAATAAAAACAAGAAACCCCTAGTTGCTCCAGAGGCGTGCGACCTCTGACATATACAGCAATTGTAAGTCGCTTTGGATAAAAGCGTTAGTTAAATGAATAAATGTAAGTAAATGAAGACCTACGTGAACCATTATGTTTTGTATTACCTTAGAATGAGACATTTATATCTACATAACCGTGGGCACCCCCTGCTGTGGAGGTTGCTGTATTTTGTCGTCATGTTTCTACCGTAGCCGTCAACGAACAAACAGCGCTACAGAGCGCGTTTCGTCATCACACCGTTCTTCTTCTGCTTGTGTAATTCCGGTAGTGTAGCACACGTGTTATTTAGCACAAGAGCCGAGAGCCAGACGGACAGACATCTGACAGAAATCAAGGATTTTATGGATTTTTCCTAGATGGAAGGCTATAACGTTAATGTGGGACAAATGTTTTTCAAAGCGGTGCTGAAGTTGTCTGTTTTCTGCTGGACAGGTAATTAACTTTGTTTGTCAGACTTTAGCAATGCAAATGAAAACTGTTGGTTCATAGCTTTAGCTGTTAGCTGGCCATAATCACAGAGAGCCGTGACATGTTTCCCCTGTCAGTGGTGTGAAATATAGATTAATTTCATGGCGCCTACTTATTCTCCAGCCTGTGGTTTGGCTTTGCCGGTTACTTATCGAGACAATCAGCTGATCAGTAACGTTAATTGGCAATAAAACCGTAAAAAATGTATTGTTAGTTGGATTGGTTTTATTCTCCAGCGCTGTGCTTTGGCTTGTGGCGTTATGTTAGTTGGATTAACTTCATGTAGTTACACTCTCTCTCTCTCTCAAGAATCAGCTGATCGCTAATTGGCAATAAAACGATCGAAGCTCATATCAGCCAGCTAAACTTGTAAATATACTCTAAATATGTAGTTGGATTGTAATTTCAAGTAGTTCTTCTCCAGCGCTTGGTTATGGCTTTGTTACGTGGACAGAAATGTGCCGTTACCTTCCTGAGACAAACAGCTGATGAATATTATTGGTAATGAGACGGTAACAGCAGGGAAGCTCAGATCAGCAGCTAAACTTCACATTTTACTGCCCTGGTGGAAAACATGTATTTCTTTATACTGCTAATGGTGATATATAACAAGGCCTTGTGCCTATCAAGTGACCAATAATAAATACTTTACGAATTTGCATTAAACAATGTTATTGGATTTTGCGTCCCACTGTGCAGACAAATATGTAATTTGTACTTTCACATGCTAATTGCCCATTAAAACATTTCACTATTTTACCAAAAGCTGAAATTATGGCTGTCAGTACTACTTGTGTTTCTGTTGCATTTCAAAAAATTTGCAACTTCCCACTAGATGTCACTAAAACTTGCATACTGGACCTTTAATGAGTAGTAGGGCTGAATGATTAATTGCATTTGCGATATTATCGCAATGTAATAACAAGATTTTCTAATCACAAAGGCTGCGATTACACTCAAGAGGAAAGTAGTCTGACGAAGTTGATGCTTCGTCTGCACGTTACGCTGTACCTTGCCTTGTTGCGGCTTTGACGGACAGGAAAAATGTCCAACAGAAAGACATGTGTAGTAAGGTAAGCATATTGTGGCCAACTTTTGAATTGATCCTCAAACTGAACATTTTTTGTTTGCTTACTGGGATACAGAACGATGGACTAGGATATTTGAACTGAGATAAGGACGCATTAATTGGTGGTTGAACTGTGGGTTTCGTATTGAGCGCTTACTGTATAATACACTGTGGTGAACGGTGTTTTTCTTGTGGTCTGTAGGTAGGCCGACCTGATATTATATATTATAGATCTTTCTCATATTATTATAATTTGATACATCACCATTGCTCATAATAATTCTACCTAATTCATCATTCATCAACACAGGCCTGACCCACAAGAAAGAACAGTGTATGTTTAATCTAGCAAATATTGTGTTGGTCATACCATACACTGATTTACTGCTTGTCCATTTTGAATAATACAGAAGGTAAAGAGGTTAAAAATTTATTGCATATTAAATCGCAATCGCAATATTGGTTAAAAAAAAAAAAAAAAAAAAAATAAAAAAAATTCGCAATTACATTATTTTCCAAAATCGTTCAGCCCTAATGAGTAGGGCTGGGTACCAAAACCCGGTGCCAATATGGAACCAGTTCCTACTACACCGAATTACAACGTAAGAAGACTTAAGAGGCGCCACTATTCACTGCAGTACCAAATGTAGTGTCCCTCAATGAAACGCTACGAGACGACAGTCGCTTTCGCTCAGTCTTACTGCGGCTCACAGCCTACCGTGAGCCGCAGCGTACTCAAAACAAACCTGGCTCAGCAGAGAGCTACACATGTTAACTTCTCCTGTCTTCAAACTCTGTCCTGAGGCTAACACACACTCTCCCAGGCTAGCAGGAACAACAACAACAACCGCCCCCTTAACACTCTGCCAATCACAGGTAGGAAAATAAATGATTGACAGGCTTCTACACTTACAACACATTTGCTGACAGGCATGACACATTCAATGACCTCCTGGAAATACTGGAGAAAACAGTAATGACAATCAACAGCCCTTTCTGCCTTGGCCAAATACAACAGTTGTGTTTTGTATATATTTATATTTAAGTATACTTTAAACAGTTAATATATTGTTCAATTTAAAGAATTTTAAATATTAAAAAAATGATTAAAAAAAGCTTTTCTCCCCTTCTTTTTGAAGTATCCGTTCAGGCACCAGAACAGTTTTAAAATGGTCGATTTGGCACTGAAATCGTAAAAAAATCCAAACAAAACTCAACCCTATTAATGAGACGATGATAGACAGACAAACACATTGCATTCTAGTTAGTTCAGATATGATAGCATACAGAACTTTTTTTTGTCTTTGTATAACTCTTACGTTTCGTCACCTAAATGCTGCTGTAGATGAAACATCACACGTGTTTAAGATAATCAGTCATTGATGTTTCTTGTAAAGAAAAATATTCTGTATTAACGAAGGCCTGCTTTCACAAAATAAGCAGATGGCTGAGTGGTTACGATTCCATTTATCACAACCTTATCAATACTGCAAATCAAAATAACTTAATTATTGGGGAAAAATTCTACTTGAACCACGTCAATGCTTTAAACTAGCTGATTAATCAGTCACAGGCAGTGAATCACTGTTTAAGGATTAAGAAAGCTGCAGACTGCAGGAAGTCAATAACCTGATAACATGCATTTTGCCTCTGTACCTCATGCATGGAGTCGAGCAACTTGGTGAGCTGATAGAAACGCTGCCAGTTCTGGCTGGAGTTCTCCTCGCGCTTCACGATGGCTTTCCCCAGCTCCTTAATGTACGACATCCGGATATCGTCGAACACCGCCTGGCTCTTCAGGCCATCCTTTGGCACTGCAGGAGAGAGGAAACTAAAGGTCAACCTCTGGGACAGAGATAAGGATAATGTACGGTACCCGAGAGGAGTCATTTGTACCAATACACACTGACACAAAACTTCCAGGTTTAAAAAGGAGGAGGGACGTTCTTTGCATTTTAAATTATGTCCGTGCTGTGAAGGGCTAAAACTAATTAATATACATCAGGTCATTTTCAGGGTGTACTCCCAATAATATTTAGCAGCACAAAGCACTAACTGGACATCCACCAGCACATCATGAGGAGGGCTGTGTTGACTTTAGGCTGTGTTTAAGCTACCTGCCATAATGATTTTAAATGTATTTTTAATCAGCTTCACTATAATTGAAGTCTTTGTTTACACCTTTCATTCTCCTGCACTAAATCACCTTTAGGAAACAACAAAAACTTGTGTACTTCTGCATCTTCTCGTAAGTGCTCTGGCTGGTGAAAGTGAGTGTGGGTATTTTTGTGGATCAATGATTTATCTGTGAAGATTCAATTCTTATTTACATTGCATGTTAATAAATGAGTTGGGAAAGTGCTGTGATCTGATGTTTTGCCCAGCGCATACATCAACATTATCTTTCAGCATCCGTGGACTGCATTGGATTGGAGTAAAGTATTTTGGCAATGACTGCCTTAACACCAGGTTTGACGTGTAATAGAGGAAGGTGGTGTGCGGGGTGGTTCAGCTTTCTGACCTGTGCTGAGCAGCAGCAGGACCTTCATGCACAAATACTCGTCGTGGGAAACCTGCAGCCGGACAAACTCGCTGGAAATCTTCAGCATCTGCTCACACTGGTCGGCCATGTAGGGCAGCTTCATCCGCTCCCTGGTGGATTCAGACAGAAACACATTCTTGTTTCTCCCCCAGTGATAGTTGATTTATGGGGCTGCTTGTGCAGTCTCAATCAGGTAGATGAATCCACTCCCAGCAATACCTCAGTAGATTAAATGTTCAAGGTCTCCTATTTTAAATCATTCTTCCAGACATGACATTCAGTCTATTTGTTTGTTGGAGTAGAAGGCTGAGAATGCATATTTCAAACGAGTGAGGGCAAAAACTCCTGAACCGTACCCTAGGACTCCTTCATGCCTCTTTGTTGAGCAGACGTGAATCGAAAATTTATTTAAACATGACAAAACACGTCACATTCTTGGTCATTATATAATAAAAACCACCTTAAAAATTAAATTGTTGAATTCTAAACACTGAATAATGGCTGCCATAATCAAATGCAAATATAACAAGCTGACAAAATGATTCTTTGGAGGTTGTCTGACAAATAATATCACCAGATATTAATTATGATCAGATTAATTTAGAGCTTGTGATTATGAAGCAAAAGGCCAATTCCAGCACTAAGCATGGTAGCTGTGCTGAATGCTCACTACACTCAGAGCGCTGTTTACAAACAGAGTCATTCAGTCTATAAGGAGGATAAACACTGATTACAGCTGACAGACACTGTTTGATGAGGTACACACACACACACACACACACACACACACACACACACACACACACCCTGCACTGATCGACATAAACAAATATATGCATTGGCTGACTGATGGAATTAAAACCATACTTAATAATACACATTAGTGTCACACTACTTTGTTAACAAATTAACAACAAGGGTTAGATGTTTACACGATTGACAATGGACTTGTACATACGTGATGACGAGGTCTGGTGCAAAGAGAGCATGTTGCCGTTGCACTGCTGGTAAGACCTCCAGCCCAGACCAAAAGACATGAGGAAGAGCCAGGAGCACTGCAGCAGAGTCATCTGGTCGTCCAGGTGCAAGTTCCTGAAACCTGTAGGGAAAGAGACGGAAATACTTCAACTACCAATGCAACCACAACGTACAAGAGGGTGTGCCGCTGAAAGTGACAATGAGGAGTAACCAATAAAAAACATACAAACACAGTAAGTAATTTAGATTTGCCTACGTGTCATGTTAGCCCCAGATGGAGCAGATCAAGTACAGTGCCAGTGAGTTTGTTTACACAAACCAAAGCAGAGAATATACAATCCATTAAGACATCTCCTGCTTTTGGCTAACCCTTGTCAAATGTTCATGCTTCCAATTGTGCGCTGTTAAAATAAAATGTGATTGCAAATACTGTCTGCATTTTGCGTTGTGTGCGGTGTCACACAATTTAAACTCGCCCTTTCTTTTAGTTTAAATGTACATAGATGTCATTACAGACAGAGAAGACCAATGGCAATATGGCATATCTGTGTTGAATGTTAAAAAAAGGAAATATAAATAATAAAATAAAACTGTTTTCTTTTGAAACTTCATGCAGCTGCAGATTAACCTCAATGTAAACTACATCCACAGCAAAAGACAGATTTACACTACCAACCTGGCAGAGCCTTTGCCCACTTGACAGCAGAGATGACCTGCCGGCCGCCCAGCCTGTTGAGGGTGGTCATGAGGCGGGTGGAGGTGTCGGGCAGGGTGCTGTCGTAGCCGGCATAGATGGTGTCTGGCTCGATGGCCTTCAGCAGGGACAGCATCGTGGGGACAAGCTGAGGCATGCACTTGGGTACAAGGGACCGAGCCTCAACTGGCGGGGAAGGAGTCGGTTCGGGTGGGTTGCTCGGCAGGACGCCCTTTAGGCGGTTCAACTTCTTGGTTTTGCGCGCTGCAGAAGAGAAACAGGGATGAACACGCAGAGGAGAGTTAAGGGAAATCGAGACAAAAGGTGAAGAGGAGAACGAAGCAATTAAACCAACTCAAGGCTACACAGTTTTCTGTTATCCGTGTGTAATATGTACCTTCCAGGTTCATGCTGCCATTAGACACTTGCGGAAACGGCAGGCTGGGCAGTTCTTCCTCCTGATCTTGTCAATTATGCAGTCATTCCTCCCAGCACACAGGTAATTATGCTGCCCTGAGGTACAAGAAGAGGAAGATTAATCTGTTATT